CTGGTTCTGGTCCGCTCATTCTGGTTCTGGTTCTGGTCCGCTCATTCTGGTTCTGGTTCTGGTCCGCTCATTCTGGTTCTGGTTCTGGTCCGCTCATTCTGGTTCTGGTTCCGGTCCTCTTATTCTGGTTCTAGTTCTGGTCCGCTCATTCTGGTTCTAGTTCTGGTCCTCTCATTCTGGTTCTAGTTCTGGTCCCTCATTCTGGTTCTGGTCCTGGTTTGCTTGTTTTGGTTCTGGCTCTGGCTCTGGTCGTTGTTCATGGTGTAAATCAAGCGCACCGAAATRCTGTTATATTTTGTACTGATATTRAAAAGATAGTCTGGTATTCATCGAAAGTTCCATTAGCTTACGTATGGCCGTCACTTAATTGTCAATCTGACCACCAACCATGGATTACAATTTGAAATACACTTGGAAACGCCACGCATGATATGGATGATGCTTACATAATCAACCTCGAAAACAACAAGGAAGTTTCTCTCGCTCATGCTCTTTGACTACTCAACCATCGCGRCATGTTTTGGCTAGACATTCAATAGTTCGGTTTTCTACATACGAAGTACACCTGCAACAAAACATTAGTCCAGGAAGGATAAACAGATTAATATGAAATCTAGTGGATATGGAGTGGTGTTGTTCCTGCGATTGTTAGTTGCCTGTAARATGTTGTCAAGCGCCTGCTTGATGACCGTGGGAAATGGGATGCAGGCTCTTATTTTGTCACAATTTCAATCAAACTTGGGAAAACAGAGTATAGCTACCACGTCTATGTGGCCGTATAAATCAAGAATGTGACGTAATTTATCACGTGACTGATGTATGATGCAGCCCAAGAATGCATGCTCTTCAAGCGGTGTGCGATGTTATATTTGGATTGAGGTAAGCACTCATATTTTGTGTTTCTTTAGCTACTTATCGAAGTATCCAAAGTAGTTTGCAAGTTATTTATTAACCCATAAAATATTAACCTTCTGATAATATTATGAAAACAGGTCAGTTAACTTTTCTATTGTTATTAATTCGAATCAGATAGTAGCCATTCAAAATGTTAAAGCAGTTTGTACATTTATATAGATTGCTCTCAAGTGGTGGGCATGTTAGATGGTTTATTGACATGAGGTAAGCTRATTATTCACGAATACATCACTGTTTAGATACATGGGCGTCCTGCCTCAAACGGACGAAAACGCGAGGGAATCACGCGCTGATTTATGTAACGGGTTTTGTCAACTGTTTCTCATCGGGCTTCCTGTGTAAAAGAGCTTTTATAGATAAGGAAATTTAGCGCAAAAATTGGTTTCGTAGTTCAGTATTTGAGTTACAAGAAAGGGTAATGAGTCATTCCAGTTTATATATTGATTTAATTACCAAATTTACAACCTGGACATCTCTGTTGATGGTATAGGKTTTTTATTAGTTACTAGTCCAGGAATTACCATAATTACAATCTGGTCATCTCTGTTGATGGTATAGGTTTTCTTTGATTAGTTGTTGGTCCAGGAATTATCCTAGGTAGTAGAGCGCGCACGCTGCGTCGGTAGTTCTCAATACATACCAGGTAAATCATAGGATTTATCGCACAGTTTAAATGACTGAGGAAGAAGCGCGGGAAAAAGAGATGGCACATTACGTCATAATCCATCTCTTTACTTAGTACTGGTAAACAGAAGTAAAGAAACCAGCAAATTGTGAATGTTATAACAACAGTTACAAGCATTTTCAGAATCTTCAAGTTGCGTCTTAGTTGAATATTGTGTTGAATTTGATTTTTGTTTCCTGGATGAGTTCGACGYTTTAACGTGCACATGACACAAGAATAAAGCGCGATTGCGATGCACAGCGGTACAGCGTAGAAGGTTATAAACGAGAAATGTTGGTATATTTTGTTCGCTATCGGATCGTCAAGCCTTAAGATACAGTATGTGTTAGATTTAATRTGAACCAGTTGTAACCCATAGAAAGACGGGAATCGGATTGCTAACGATATGATCCATATCCAAACACTRATAAAACATGATATTTTCTTTGTGACTAAAGTCCTTAAAGGCATTAGGACAGCAATAAAACGTTCCACAGCGATAGCAATAAACATCAGGACTGATAAAGATGAACAGAGTTCTTGCATAGATGGGGATATCTTACATAGAATAAGTCCAGTAGCGCCTGATATTTTCCATTCAATTCCTGTAAATATTCTGCTCAACATACGCGGCATAAAGAACACAGTTACGAGTAGATCACTGACAGCCATRTTCACAATGAACATGTTAACAGCCGTTCGCATTCGTTTGTTTTTGGCCACCACCATGACAACAAGACTGTTACAAAYCAAAGATGTTAGCATTACGATACTGTACGCTATAGCTTTTGCGATCTGCATTACWTGGGTATCTTCATACGGACAGATCCCTCCTCTGCGAGAAGCACCTGAATTCACTGAAACATTACTAGATGATGAACTGTTAAAAAGCAAATGACTTGAATTCGCCAGGATAGAGGACGTTGAGTTTTTTAGCAAGAGAATCATGCTTGGATCAAGTGAATTAGGTTTTTTAGTAATATTCGATCCGTGGAATAAACTAAAACTTGAGTTTCCAATGGACGCGGGTGAAAAGGTTGCATTGAACATGTTAACGTTCCCGATGAGGAGTGAGTGGTAAGAGTCGCCGTGTTTTTAAGGTGAATTAATATAATGTATGACGTTTTGAGATATCTCTACACAAAGAGTACTCTTAAGTGAATACATTGAATCTATTCAAAAATGTACTCGAACATGTCCATAGATTGAGAAATTACTCCATCAAATAGAGCAATGTTTTAACGTCCATTTCCTTTAGTAATTTGACAATAGTTTCTTATTGTAGTTTTACAGGCTGGTTAGAGCTTACTTGTATTGCTTCTTTGTTTGTTGATAGTGCGCATGTGCCATTCACATTTCTAGAAAATACCCCTTTTTGTTACTTTTTAAACAGGTGTACGGAACGCGGTAAACTCAAACGCCCGTTTTAAAATATCAGTACGGTATATGGACTAAGATAAATAACATTTCGGGACAAGGACAGCTTCTTTGATGTTTGAATTGTATATATTTACTCAATGCACGAATGACAAAATATAATCAAAATGTTGTAAATTATCGATTGAGGCTTCTTTTTCAATACATTACGAACACTTTCTCGAGCTTTCAGATTTGAGCATTATATGAAACATCAGAATTGACGTAAAGACCATGAAAAATTCAGGAATCTCGATTTACCATTACTTCTCGTTAAGTTAATTTAACACTTTTATCACTCGAAACGGAAGCATTTATCGATAATTGAAAGAAAATTGCAGTGAACCGACTTAATGGGTATCTTTTATGGTGAATATTTAAYCATATGATCTTAAAAGTTCATTTTCACGACATTTATTTTCTCGCCTCAGTAATGGCAAAAAGAAAACCAGAACCTTTGAATCAATCAGCAAAATAAATAAGTGATAGAGTTGAAGTATAATCTATGGATTACATTTCCCAGTAACTTAAGTGCGTTATCAGAAGCATTCACTTATTATTATGCTTTTATTTGGAAATCATAAAAAGAATTCTTCGTCAGGGGTCAGATATTATCTATAATGCAACAAACACGATGTCTAATGATGCTAATGTAAGGTTCCACCACCTACATACATGGATTAGATTGAGACTTACAGATCTCTTAAACTTGTCAACTCATAGAGAATGTGAACCTAACTCTATGACGTCATATTGTAACCATTGAGAACATAAAGCATTAAAGTTTAAAGAGCAGCTGTTTAATTGTCTTAAATGGTTGGTCTTCTTACGTCGATTGATTCGATGTTGCATGCTTCTGGGCAAGATGTCTGGCGTCCAACAATAGCTTTCACATTAGCAAGTGCCAATTGATGTGCCTCTGCTGATCTTGGGCCGTGAATTGTTCTACTAATGCTGTAATCTCGTTGAAAGCTGAATCTTGCCATGTTCATAAACTGGCGACGGTAGTTGGTGTTGAAGACCGCATACACGATAGGATTRCAGGCGCTGTTTGCGAAGATTAGCCACTGCACGAAGAGGACCAATGAGACAATGGTACTGGTGTACTGTCGTAGCACATAATCCATATAAAGGAATAACACGTGATAGGGAAGCCAACAAAGTGCAAACAAGAAAACGACAATCAGAAACATACGAACGATCCGTCGYTGTGCCTTGTGGGATACTAAYAATAACAATAACAAAGAATTTATAAATGATAGATATAACTAGACTCASTTATAATTCATCACGTGAAGAGCAAATATATGCAAACCTTTTTGAGCGGTTGGTAGATTCTTGAATGCTCTAGCAATCAGACCRTAGAAGGTACATGTGATGATCAGCGGTATACAGTATAAMAGTAGGAATACCATCATTGAAAATGCTTTGACAGCTGCAGGATTTGGCCAGGTCTCAACACACTTTGGTCTCATTACCCCCTTGACTGGTACAGTCATAATATTGGAATATCCAATGATTGGAGATGGAATGATACAGGATATTATCCAGATAACTGCGATCCAGATCTTAGCCTTAACTAGCGTTAACTTAGGTCGATCATACCGTACTATTACCATGTATCGATCTATTGATATAGCCATCATAGTCCCTACTGATGCAGCTAGCGACACGCCCTGTAGAAATGGTAATAACTTGCACAGAAACTCACCATATGGCCAGTACGATAAATGAGCATGGAGGGCAACCAGTGGAACGTTTACTAACGAAACTACACCGTCAGCCATGGCCAAGTTACTAATGAAAAGATTCGGTACGGTTCTCATCTTTGGTTGTCTAAACGCTAATACGACCATCAGATTCCCCAGGACTCCAAACAAGAACACAAGACCGTACGCCACAATTCGTATCCATCGCATGGCTTCAGGTTCGGCGAAATCAAATGGCGTAAAGCTCTCTTCATTTGAACTTGTACAATTTGTTGACAAGGAGTTATTTAGGGTTGAATTTGTACAGTTACTAAGAAGAGCCATTTTCTGTGTGTTTCATGTTATTCGCATCATGTTCTGTTTCATGGATCGCGCTGACACGTACAGATGACGTCACAAGAGGTGTGACTATGACGTCATATGTTTATCTGCGTGCGCAGTCTATCGATGATATGAAATCACTTTTCATACTCGTCCCCAGTTCACCTCGGGAGAAGGGACGACCGAGGTGCACTGGGGACGAGTATGATCAGTTTTGAAACGTGTTTGGAGTGAGTAGCAGTGGTGCGTCATCGCGGCGAACTGCGCGCGATATACTATGCGCATGCTCAACAAGCATTTACGTTTTTTTATGACGTCATTCCGTTTGCGTTTTTGATCTGCGAAAGAAACTCGGAATTAGTATATTACTTGTATTTTACTCTAGAATTATTGGCGCTGGTTTATTATTTATCATTCTCTCATAGAAGACTGTTTTGGTCAGGTGTGTAACTCGATGTCTACTCAGGAACTTCATTAATCAATAAGCAGACAGTAGTTTTGTCAGTTACATTGATGGCTATACTGGACGCTGTGACTTAAAATGAGTCGACTGTGTCAACAAACGCTGGCACAACATTTAAAACTAATTAAAACACAATGCATTTCCTTTTCCTCACTGTTTATGAATGAATTATGATCCATYCAAATGCGTTTTCTTTTCGGTTTTAGTTCTCAGTTCTTTTTTTCTTGGTTGCCTGACTCCAATTCTTTTAGTTAGTTTGCTTGTATGTTCATCCCCTATCGTCCATTTGACAAATAACTTATTGTTTAGAGTAATCTAAAGTGGCAACCAACAAAARTCTCTTATCGAGTCCTATAATTTCCGGATAAAAATGAAAACAAACGGGTTTAAAAAAATTCCTCCGATAACAAAGAAAACACTTCTTATCTATAATAAAAATTATAAGCTTGATTGATGTAAACTTTATTTTTTTGGAGTTTAAGATTCATGTATTCTTGCCACGCCCTATATGGTAAGCTACCTTTTTTGGTATTACTSTAGAACCTCTCCTAATTTTTTCCCTGGYCCTTGTATATCACGAAGGCTCTGATAAAACTATAATTAACCTTAGGATATTCAAAACAATTTTAGACTWATCGCCATTTAGTGTCGGTGACGCCGCAAACAGAGATATCGGAATAAAACAATGGTGTGGAACGTTGACAAGTACCAAAACATTGACCGTTCTTGAACTTGAACTTTGTATCAATCCATTACCATATCACTAAGTCCATTTGATGCTCGGGGAGACATATATACTTGGCTCATAATTTATCAAGTCAACTAAGCCAAAAGCTTAATGGACTGAACGTCAAAAACTAAAAAGAYATAAAACAATACCAGAAATTTAGACGAAATCAATGAGTAATGAGAAATAACAGCAGCAACGACAACACTGTTTCTGACCCCAACCCTCGAGGAAAAAAAAAAAAACAAAACTAAAAAAGTTGACGATTAACCTCTAGAAATTTTGTTTTTTTTATTTTTCTATTGTTTAAATGCACGCTTAAGTGAGGTTTTGTCCTGTCACTTTAATTATACTTGTTGCTTTTTGTGTAAATTGAAGGAGTTTTTATTAGATTTCTAATCAAAACCCTTCCTGTGCAAGATTGTCGTCTAGTTTTCGTTTCTCTTGGAGATTTGTATGTAAGACCATCTCGTGGGATGGACGGGCTTGAACAAGACAGATGTTACGAACAATACTATACCTTAAAAGAAACCGACTTTTGAAATAGAAWTATTGGAGGAATTATCGCTAAGGGAGAAAGATTATCAAGGCTCATTTAAAATCGCGCCCGTCAACATAAAAGTCTGATGTAAAACTTATCGTGTGTTTGACTCTGGATTTATTGTGTACCATGTTATCWAATGATGGAAAAATACTTAACTTAAGCCATAAGGTAKTTAAAGTTATTTATGGAGTCACGTGGCCAGTCATATGATATGCGGCATTTTATTTAAATGTTGTCTTCGTGAATCTGACGTCTTTAAAACATCCTTAAGGCTCTATTTATCTTAAAAACATCAGAAATACAAGTAAGATAGACCGGCATATGATACCATACCACATAYATGACATAACAAGTAGGCAGAGTCAAGGGGAATATATCGGACTACTATAACAGTTCTCGGCTACAGCGCTCTGGTATCAACTCTGCGAAGATGTCATCCGCGCAATTTTCAAACACCACAAATATGGCGAACTATTCTATACTCCACGACGATGTAGAAGGCGAAAGTATGTCAACGAAGACAATTCGCATTGTTGGGTATGTTGTCTTGTTCATTTTGGGTGTTTTTGGGAACTTTATGGTGATTCTTGCTGTGAGAAACCCGAAAATGAGAACTGTCACCAACGCATTCATCGCAAATCTTGGTCTTGCGGATCTCCTGGTCGTTGTATTCAACATCCCAAGCGTTGTGACGTAYGCGCATTTGTGGCAGTGGCCGTTTGGTGAGGCGTTATGTAAAGTTCTTCCATTTCTTCAGGGGTTAACCCTGAATGCATCGGTGGGGACGTTGATCGCTATAGCAGCAGAYCGGTATTGGCATATTGTACTCTTCAAGCGAAAGAAAATCCCTTTACGCCATGCGTATAAGATGATAACAATGATTTGGGTGTGTTCGTCTCTGATTCCTTTACCCCTGCTGATATACTGCAAGGTATGTACTCTTCTTATATCAATATTTAAAGTACAAAAATATTTTTTTCAATGGCGTTTGACCCTATATGAATGACGGACAAACGAGAGTACCAAAAATAGGCTGAATCTCTTTTGAGACGCCGAATTTTACCGTTGCCGGTGGCAAAATGAGAAGAGACCAAAGACTTTTACATTGTGATCGACACGTGTGAAATTCTGTATTTCAAACGTGTCTAAATTCAATTCATCTTTTTTTGATTCTTGGTTGTGGATATGCCATTTCAATTGGCTGTTAAAAAATGATTGTTTGAATGATTCTAGATAAATGTGTATAAGATATGTAGAGAATTCATAGCTTTCGTCGTTCGCCGACATCATCACGAGATGATTATAGATAAATTGATGATTAATAAATGATAAATTGATATTGTTCCCTTAGGTTCTGGTTATAACGGTCAAGAACATTGAGTATGTCCTGTGTGAGGAGGTCTGGCCCGACATGACATCAAGACAAATCTACACGATGGTCATATTCCTTGCTTTGTACCTCTTCCCTCTTCTCGTCTTGTCTTGTTTATACTTTATTATAGCTCGCTCGTTGAAACGCCAACCAGTTGTTCCAAGCTCAAGGCRGGAAGGTAAGCAACTGAAGTGTATGACCAGAAATAGTACACTGACCCTTTATCTTCTTAATCCGGCCTCACAAGGCTTTTGTTTATTTTATATCTAAGTAGCAAATAAGTCAGCTTAAATACACCAGGAGAAATCCTAGGATCAGGATATCAAATGGTTTTGCTTTTAGTTAATTGCCATTTCTTCATTTAAAAAAAAAACTTAATAGAAGTTATTAAAAGCGATAAGTGCACTAATTTTACATTGACGTCACTGGGTATTAGATTAGCCATATTTTTGACATTGCTTCCTTGTGGATAATTCCAGGAAGACTTAGATCAATTACTGACTAAACATGTTTGGATAATGTTCATAGTCGGTAATCTTTGATTATTGATGTTTTTGTTCCAACAAAGATAAAGCGTCTAYCATCATTCGTCGTTTTATTATGACTAGTTGAGCTTTCATACTGAACATGTCAAGTTACTAAAAGCCTCGAGTTTAGTTGCAAACTGTTTCGTAAGAGCTTTCTTCCTTTTTAAATGTCTTTAACGTKATGGTACTGTTTATTCATATTTCAGGATCCAAAAGAGAGGCTCAAAAACGCATTGTGCGCATGCTCGTTGTGGTTGTCATTCTTTTTGCATTCTGTTGGCTTCCTTATCACGCTGTTTTCCTGTACATCGATTTCTTTCAGCCAGTTCGTACCCAGTCCCTCGTGACTGCGATTCTGCTGTCTCAATGGTTAGTCTATGCGTCCAGTGTCTGCAACCCTGTTGTTTACGCCCTTCTAAATCCAAACTTCCGACGAGAGTTTTTTGAAATGTTATCGTCTTGTAAAAAAAGTCAATATCTGTGTCATTGGTGAGATATCATGTCGTGCAAAGGTTGSATCATCGGAATCTAACAGTACAAACTCTGCCAGTTATATGTATGAAAGCTCAGTCTAAATGACAATTGACAACAAACACGATCGAGAACTTACATATAAATGTAAATATGAACAACTGTTTCAAAACCAAGTAAAAGATGTACATAACCAAACAGAACARCAAAAAGAAAGRCWTCAAAAGACTGGCAACACCCAATAAAGAGATGGAAATTATTGACRAGACTCAAGACGACGAACAAGAAGGGTCGGTAGCGACAACAAGAAGATAGATCAKRTCAACAAGGACAGCCGGACGACCGTGATGGAGATAACATACAACAATAACAGTCTAATTTCCACGATGAATGCTAAAGAGAYAAAACAACATCAACTAGACGCTTKAAAAKCGTGATGCGGACTAGCTTAGCAAAAGATTTTCAATACAAGATAAAATTGTATCTCCAATGAATATTGTRACTATGACGTAACTATATATGAAAGTAAAATATGCCGTAGAATACCTTAGTTTTCTTTGCAGTTCAATTCTTATCGTGCACCGCAATATTCTTTTCTGGAAACTAATYRTTAACCTTCACTGTCTGCTATAATCTTATCATATATAAACTATCAACCATAATCTTTTTGCTATATAGTGATTGTCCTACATTTGCAATGTATTTTGTAATAATATTTATGGAAGCTCTTTACTTCTTGGTTAGCGATATCACATTATTATTTACATAGCAATGCATTTTAGATGACATGGGTGCATTCTTGAAATTTTGTTTTTATTAGCCTTTCTTTCGTACAAAAGAAATCTAAAAATTGAAGCAAAACAAWGTTCAATTTCAAAACTTGTACTTTGTCATTTTTAACTAATAAAAAACCCCGATGATATTAAAGCAATTTCTTTGAATTTGAACAATAAAAACWTTGTCATTTAAACAGAAAAATACCTTTTGCTGTCTATAAATGTGGAAAAAAGCCAGTATTTGAGCTGATTTCATGTTGAATTGAAGCTGTACTGAATAATCATCGAGCTGGACTGGTGAAGAAGGCGAGACTATTTTCGATGATAACTAGCAAGCTTAAAACTTCACAAATACAATATCCTAGTTCAATTCTTCAATGAGAAAGCTTTTGGTATTTCTTGTTGATAGTTTTTGAGTACTTTTTTTCTCTGTTATCGGCGAAGTACCCGCCATTTTGGATTCTTGAGAAAATTTTCAGTTCGAGAGAGACTGCAAACTAATAGATATGATAGATATGGCTTCCTGTGGTTCGAGAGAGATTGGAAACTGCGACCCGACAGAGTGGAGAAAAGGTAAAACTATAGCTGGCTAGCTCGCTAATAAACACTTCACTTCAAGAACACGAGGTTAACAGTCACTCGCAAAACACTTCAAGATGAACTCGATCTACTCACCACCGGCAACGCAATGCTATATATAGCTGGGCCAAGGTCAAAATATTATAAAATTCATATAATTATGGGTATATAAAAACAGATTACGAAAAATGCCACAGGGAGCCCATTTCAATGCACTGAATACTATCGAAATCGCGGGCGCTTCACAAGTAATTTTTGAGTGCGACTTGTATCTCGATTATTTTGGTAATATCAATGCGTTAAGGACTCTATATTTAGTTATGAATACAGTTGTTTCGGGAAACGTTTAGTACTGAAGATAGTACCGAAATGCATTGTTGGTCGTTTTTGTCCTGGGCAAGATTACTGTTCTTCCAGGGCTAAATGATAAAGTAAAATAGTATAYTACGAAGAACAGTTGGTGACCAGTAAAAGTGACCAGTAAAACATTGCTTTAGCTTTTAATAAAGTTATATTCAATCAAATTAAATGCTCACCGGTTTCATTCGTTTAGATTTCTTGACCCTCAAGTTTTTCTCTAAAAATAATAACTTTAAAACTACAACAAAATTCAAATAAAAATACAAAAGTAAATAATTCAAGAGGTGTAATAAAGTAAATTTAAACGATGAAGATTGTCTTTCATTAAGAATAATTCATAATGCAAATCATATCGAGCTTTTACGATTCTGTACATACTTCAAAACATCTTTTTTTTCTTGCTTCTGGGCGTGTCGTTTATGTAAAGTTGTTGATATTTGGCAGCATCTTTTACTATAAACAATCGATAGTTTAGTCTTGTAGTATTAATGTAATACTGATTTACCAAAGAAACTTGKTATGTAATATAATCCTCTGTCATTCATTTGTTTTGTCAAAATTGGCTGGCGGAGCACCAGAAAATCCGATTTTTATTGTAAATGAAAGCTGACGGTGGCACCAATATACCACTGAATTAAGGGCTACGGTAGGGCGTGGTGAGGTCCGTTTCTTTAGTCAATTCACAAAGCACCATTGCTCATGAGTATAATTAAATAGCTCTGTGCATAACGAGTGTATGCCTCAAAACTCCTACAGTAGCTGTAGTTGCCTTATACCGTTTAGGTTCTAAGGAATTAGTGTTTTTCATTCTTGTATCGYAATAGCAAGACACAGATGGCAGTCTCATTTAAATTACATCCAGTTTGACTTTCCATATACTGCTAGCTGAGTAGAATAATTAGCAAGTGAACTGACGCTTATTGTAATTGCACCGCTTATCAAGTCGTATGACATCAAGATAAAGTACTTTAAGTTCATTTGTATGRGAAGATGCCACAAAGATCTGCATTTCTATAAGAACCAGAACCATAGATTCTTATTAATTGCATATAAACTCGCAACCAAGTGAATTATACACGAGTTTCTCTTTAGGAAAAGAAGTAGCTAAAATATACCAGAAGAAACATGCCATAGCTAAATGGAAAGAAAAATCGAGCGAAATTGTCGATTTTATTTTCTCCTTCTTCTGTAGTAAAGGGTTTTTTCAGGAACCTTATTATKGGATGTGTATTGTCTGGTTCGACACAACGGGGAAGAATGGGCTTGCTGTGGTCGCATGTCTTGACCGGTTTCCTTGGAGACGTCTTGTACATCTCTCCGTTTTTAGGTGATTTCTCGTTTTCCTTCCCTGCAGATGTGAGGTTACTTAGAGAGTCTTTGAATGTGTAGGCTGTGCTACCAATTTGGATCTTGACCTCCATCATTTTTTTATCATCCTGTTGTATTAGAAAAAAAAGAAAAATATTCTGCAGAGTGATCGCTTTATTTATATTTATTTATTTTCTAGAAATAGTATTAGATTGTAAACTGTAACGTGCATGTTGGATTATTTATAAAGAATTCGATTTTGCGAAGGTGACAATGATGATGATGATTGACACCAATGATTGACACCAATGATTGACACCAATGATTGACACCAATGATTAACACCAATGATTGACACCAATGATTGACATATAGATCTGTGATACAATGATGACGATGAAGACTAGCTTTTGTTGATTTATAAAATCAATTCAATTAGCTCAAGATACTTCTAAGAAAGSACTTACAACAGTTTCATCATTCTAATGAAAGTATAACAACCGAAAACCATGCAAAAACTGAATTTGAGATAATTAGGTGCACGTGATGCCACGCCCACTTACCCATTCCTCCTCAATCAAGCCTGATTTACACTTCGGTGGTGAGAAGCTGCCACTGTATTTCCTCCTTCGTGTATATTTAAGAACAACAACGTACTCGACCAGAGTAAGAAATATAAACCCAAAAGATAGTAATAAAAAGTAATCTATTGCCTTTAAATATGAGACTCTTGGTAGATTAGAATTGACGGATCCCAACATGTAACAGATTGTCAACACTGTAGTAATACTGAGCCCTACACGTGCTGGAACGGCATCCGCATCCACCCAGAAACTGACCCACGATAAAGCCACAATACATATACAAGGAATGTACATTTGAAAGATATAGTACATGGTTCGTCTTTTGAACGTGAARGTTACTGTTAGACCAGAAAACCGACCTGGAGAGAGAAACCGAAAAAAAAGTCAACATATAGCCTCGCAGTTTGGAAGGCACTGTGTCTGCCTGCCCGTGAGAAGTGAAAGAAACTGGGGATGAGCAGATAGAACGATTTTAGAAGAGACATTTATTACTGTTGTTTTCATTGGAATTATTTTTAATGTCAAATTGTCAATAAACAACACTCACGAGAATGATATACAGGATGCTTGAGGTTTCTTACAACGCTCATCACATTAAACTGAGCCATCTCGGCATCGTAGATAAAGACATCGCTGCCAACTGGGTTTTTCCACTTGTATTTGAGGTCCGTTTCGTCAAAGGAAACTGAAAGATAAACATTTTTCAAATAACGAATATCTATGATGGAGACGACTTGTAGTGCGTGCGTGGGATTGCAAGTCTATGCGGGAGACAATGCAGTTAATTATTTTTCTTCTCAAAGAAAAATTTTTTGCTTGTTTTTGAAGCTGCTTTGACCTCGCTTGGCAAGCAATATTAGGACTTTTGTACACTGTTTTCGTACCGTTATTTGTATTGTTTTTTATTTCCTTGAGGACAGAGAACTATTCAAAAACGTTATGATAACTTAGACTAATCTTAGACTAAATCAATGAAGTTTCTCTCCAGCTATAAAGTTTTCTTTTATATTATGGTGTTTAATTTTTGTCAGTCTCAAGAACTTGGAGACAGGTTTATCGTCTATCATATTTAGACATGCGTCGGCTTAGCATACTTTGCGGTTCGAATGTAAACGCAGTCGGTACCATTGAAATATCCGCAAAACAGCTATAAGCATCCGCTTTTCCCTCAAATCCGCCACTACTGACCACTGTGTAGATAATACCATTTATTATTATAATTGTTACCACGCCCACTTGTCACTAGTGCCGCCTACATACCGCGTACGCACCTATATATAAATTTAAAACATAAACATTCTGTGTTTGGTATAGCATTACTGTTATGCTAGTCAATATTTAATGAGTTGWTTGAGGTGAAGATTTTTTAAATTGAAGTCCAAGACCTTGGCAAACTCGTATAAGAGAAAATAGACTAAAACTATAAACACATTGAAATCAAAGGGCGATTCCTAAAGGATAGTATAGTCTTGCTRATAACTTTTTAAAGGGTTTTCTCTCAGTATCAGTGATTACAATTCATTGTTTTGTGTTTATTTCGCATTTCAACGTTAACTTTACTTTAAACCTTAGTTTGAATGACACAGGAAGCCCAAGACTAAGAAATCTATACTCACAGCTTTCGATTGCCAAATGGCATGTTTGTTGGTCCATGGGGTACTTTCTGAGATCCATTTTACATGTTGCTTTGGATTTTAATCTGAAAATGAATTGAAATCATATTCATTTATGTTGAAGGGTGTGTGGGTTGATTTCAAGTGAAGGGGAAATGGATGGAGATCTGTAACGTAGTCATATCGTAAATGTGTCTTAGCCATGTCGTAGCATGTCGTAGTCGTATCGTAGCTGTGTCGTAACTGTGTTGTGACTATATCGTAGCCATATCGTAGTCGTATTGTTGTCGTATCGTTACTATATCGTAGCTATATCGTAGCTGTATCGTACTCGTTTGAAACTATGTCGTAGCCTTATCGTAGTCGTGTCGTGTCGTTACTGTATCGTAGACATATCGTAGCTGTATCGTAGTCGTATCGAAGCCATAAGATTGAAATTCGAATGTCAAAATAATGAAGGAGTTACCTTGCGCTAAGCATGATATGCCCCTTATCTAAATGAATCCAGACYTTTTTGTTAGGAGACATCATTTTATGTACTTCTATATCAACCGAATTGACGAAGAAAGTGTCTGGAATCCAGAACTTRTCCACGAAGTCGCCACCTAGACTAATGCTGTTATTTATACCATAGGCAAAGCGAGGGTCCTGCCAGAACTGGCCAACGTAGATGTCTGCTGTAAACAGCTGATAAAAGTGGAGAATTTGTGAGTTGAAAGGTACGGACTTACAATGTACAAATTCCTGAGATGCGACTTTTTGCGCTCTTAGCTATCAGTGCAACTTACCATATCAGCCTCTTTGATTTCACCGAAAGAAAGTACAAGCATGTCAAACTGGACCTCGATCGGTTTAACTGCAAGCAATGATGACCAGAATTTACTTTAGGGAATCAGTTTTTTTTGTAGTTATGGGACGTGTGGGTGGAATAGGTGAAGCTTACAGGATGCAAGGAACTATAGTTCTGCATTGCGGTAGGGAGGGGAAAAGCAGGGGTTAGTGATTACTCTACAGTTGATCTCTAAGTATGATATGATAATAAATAAATGACATGATGTTTATTACCTTCGTAGAATGGTCGTACATTCTTATCGTAATTCTCCAATATGTGCTGGATCATCTGAGACATGTTGTTCCCAGCGTTGATCATCTTCTCATCAATTACCTTCATCGTCGATCGTCTATGACTTGGTAAGAAAGTTGCATTTGTTTAGTGATATTTATTCGTTATTTATTGATAGTAACTGTTATAACACCTGTGATTTCCCATAATGATATACAACTAAAGGTATCTTATACTGCAAACTCGTGCATGCGCATGGTGGACAAATCGATGAAGTATTTTCATTAATTTACGCCACAAGGCGTAGCCGTTTGTTGTTTGTTCTGTTATCCTMATWCTCGGCTGTCATACGAAATCTAGACGAATTATTAGGAATTCTAACTGATAATGCGTCYTGATTGAGGAATATAAACGAGTAAGATGGATTAAGTGTGATTTTCGCATGATCCATCGAAATATAAATGTCCCMACACTGCATTGAGATATGACCAAGCCGACTGTTAAAGTACTTACATTGACCTTGAAGAGGAACATCTCGATACCATTCCAGCCAGTATCAGGCTGATTACTACTGTGCACACCTTCAACATCTTGAATTCATCTGAAAAATATACTAACATTAATTAGTGCCTCCGGCCATCCAATGCTGAACTTTATGAGCGTATCTGAAAGGCAATGGTTTTCTCTTAACAGTTATGCTTGAAATCTACAATATGATTTTTTGCCATTGAATTGGTTCAAACGCTTAACGCTCGGTAAATATATTCCATGATATAAACATGTTAAAAAATATAAATAATTGTACGCAAAAAACATTACCGAGACAAAATGATAACCCAGGTTTTCTTACAATGATCACCGCTGTTAAAACCACGCATTAAATACATATATATCGTTGAATACAGTATTCACTTGATAAAACGTAAAGAAACTMTAATACTTTGGATAAATGTAGAGAGGATTAATAAACAACAGGACCCATTGTAACCACCATGCACTTACAGTCCTCTCGTGTCCGCTCTACTTGGTTACCTTACGACACTTCCGAGCTCGAGTATTACTGCTGGATAAACTCTAGTAATTCATTCTGTAATATCAAATGCGAGAGCCCATGAAGGCAAAAGCTCAAGTAGTTTATTAGTTTTATTGTCAATAAGACAATTTTAATTAAAAGGTCAACTTTTTGTCTTGGTTTTGCAATTAAGGCTGCTGTCATATAACACTTTAAGCGAAACAACTTAATGCTGCTGTCATATAACACTTTAAGCGAAACAACTTAATGATTGTTTTGGCTGATTCTACATATATTATTATTTTTTCCTGGGATGTTACTGATTTTAATCGATGATTGGTAAATAATAATAATAAATACAGTAGAAGTCGATAGATTTCAAATGAGTTTTTGTGAGATACATTTTTCATCAATGTTGTTATTAGCAAAATGATTGAATGTAATCGACAAATATAATACCCACTGGGACTTTTGGTTGTTCATATTCTACAATATCTCCGACCACTGTTTTCGAGACATCTGTGTAATGTTTGCTTGCTATTTGCGATTACATTTAAGTAATGTTAAATAATGGGAGACAGCTCCGCAAAATGTAGGAAGAAATTGCACAAAATTAGATTTAACATGATTTTGGTTATGGGATTTTAAGATTTTAGATTACATTTATAAAGTATACCTGTGAGAGTAAATAATGGAACATTAAAAGCCTATGTAGAAAATTAATCATACTTCAGGAATAACGTTTTTGAGAAAGAAAATACGTATGCATACTGACGACGCACGTCTAAATTTAAATCTTATCCTCAGTGAATTGACTCAGATATTTTGTGTTCAATTCAATAGTAGCCATGGAATACTTATGTGATTAAGTGTTCTAGAACTCAAAGATAATCCGAGCTAGAAGCAATTTTGTAAATTAGAGGGAAGGATGGAATTACCCATGTATTCTTCAGCGTATCACACCATTTTAGTTGCAGAAGCTCTCCGCAGGGTGTATGCAATGATGCCAATAACCTTCATATTTTGATAGAAGATTCCGATAAGTTCCATCTTATTTATTGTGACACTTTTGAAACAACTACAATTTTAAATGTATAGAAATTTTATCTAACAAACCTCTGACATTTACAGAACTTGAAAAATTATGTAAAACTATTATGATGCTATTCAAAAAGTGTAAAAAGAGAAAAATTGCGGCGATTTTAAATGAATAAGAATCCATAGTTTACTTCAATAGCACCATCGAATACTTTTCTGATGACTAAAATGCTCTAGAAGTAATAATCATGTAATCGTATAAAGAATTTTTCTGCTTAAAACTGAAAGAACGGCATTAGAATACCCAAACACACCTGCTATAAGCACTAAAACTATGAATATCAATGATTTTAACATAAAAAAGAATAAACCGAAAACTCACCTTTATGTTTTAGTAATTCTAAGCTTTAGATACTGCGAAAATATAGTCTTGTCCTTTCGAACCTTTCGACYTTTTTACCGGTCTTCAGGTGATGAAGATTTTGATTTGAACAAGCTGTATTATTAAGGAGTTTACAATCATTTGATCGTTGTGTAAATCGAGGCAACGGTAAAGAACGGTCTCAATCCATACTACTCGTCTGATGGTTAGCTTAGTTGGAAGCTGTGTGATTTTTTGAGTATCAGGTATTAAGTCAATCACAATATCTCAGATCCCGTTGACAACAATTAGAAATGTCATAGAAGTAACTATAAACAAGATTTAGCACCTCCGCAGCTTCTACGCTCTGATTGGTCGGAAAAACAAGCTATCGTTGTAAGAAAGATATTTCGTAAGAYGATTTAAACAAAAAAGGCAAACTGCAGGGGATTTTCTGTTTAAACCGCTATGTGAGCCTATGATCAAATTTATATTTGGACTCTAGATTTTCTCTTTAAGTAAACAGTTAATTCAACTTGCGATTCCTTGAAATGAAATWATTTAACGACACTTTTCCGTTTTTTATTTGTTTTGCTATATATATCGGAAGGTCGTTGATGAGATTGAGTTTTTAATCCAGCTGCCTATATGATATGAAGGAAATTTTCCCACGTGTTAATCAAGTGGCTGAGTACGCATCAAAATGCATCCTAAAATGTGAAAAATATGTTGCACAATCGAGATTTTTCTTTCATTTTTTATGTCCCATGGATTTCTATAAATTGTTTATTACATGTGTCTAGTGTGATTCACAGCGATACCATCAAATAGATGGATTGATTTGACTTCCCTATTGTCGTTCTACGGTCATCAGCAAATGAAGGAAAGTTTACATACCTCTTGAAAATTAGTACGTCTAGCAAAGATAAATAAATCATTACATAAAAGTCCATCATATGCACAACAAAAAAGAAATGAAAAACGACAGCAAACATAAAATATCAAGCTTAAAACAAGAAAAAGTTGGCTGGGAATTGGGTGTAAAAACCATCAATAACAARCGAAAACAAACCATGATGAAAAATACATGAAAAAATGCATCAGGAAATTTAATAAAAAGCAATAAACTTAAAGTAAGTTGACAATAAAGCGTAATAAAGGTATACATTAAAGAAAATATCAGGAAGACACTTCGCAGCTTGAGCAGTTTATCTCCCTCTATTATTAGTATCTTAATTAAGACAACACCTAGGCGAATACAAAATGATACGASACAAATCGAACTCATCTAGATCTGTTATTTTCTATTAGTTTGTCTTAACTAAAACAAGTCAAAATGAGAATTTCCAGCTTAAAATCCCGGCCCCTTTTCAAGGTCGAGTGTATTGCAGTATAGTTGAAGCATAACTATGGTTGAACTATGCCTATGGCTAACTGAACACTATATGAAATAAGTCCTCAGTAGAATTATACTCGAATACTTAGTACAACGTTTATTCCTTTATTTTGAGAAGGAAACTTTGCATTAAACAGAGATTTTAATATTAATATTTTAAGTAGACGAGGGATATTATATTTATATTCCGATCCGCCATCTTGGATTTCAGAAATTATTATCCAATATGGCGGGAAAATGTTTAGTTTAAATTAAAAGTAGTAGAAGTTACAAGTGTGCTCAATTAAAATGACCGTCAATGCATCGTCAAACATAGAAAATATTTACCTTCCAGTTTCGTCGCACAATGGCTTATCTGCACCTATCTTTTGTTATTGATATATTTTTGGAAACCGAACAATGTCTCTTACAAAACAAATGCAAGCTAAAATTTCTAAAAACGACGTCATATTTTGAACAATAACAGCTAATTCACCTTCACTGTAATCATAGCTAATGGATTAACTATTTCAGACAAAACTCAAAACGTCAYAAAAAAGGAGTTTCTTAGCATCACATGATATGCGAATCATCGGTTGACAGGTATCACAAATCGTTTCGGGAACTGAATGTATATTAACGATAGTWTTAACTCTGGATTGTGGCTTTAGAATGAAATAGTTTCCCTTCTATTATAGTCTTAAACGAACATTGTTATTAGTGTTTATGCGGTTCACTGTGGTTTCTTGGACGAGTACACTAACGATCACAAAAGAATCGTCTTTTATCATCAAGTATTGTAAACAGTACTTAGCATTGATTTACAAACAATTTAATTCCAGTCCACCTGTGAGGCTCTCATTATCATTAAAACTACGTTACAATGACATATTTGAAAGTTTTTCCAGTGATTTCTACAATGTTTACGCTATGGAAAATGTGGTTAGAGGTTTAAAAGCCTCAGACAATACCAAACAAAGTTTTGTTTATACGAACCGGTGGATATGTTTTCCATTTTCAACCATCGTTTATACAAATAAACCACCAAAAACGATGGATCTTATACGAAAAATAATAATAGATTTGAAATACTGACATCGATTTAGACAAGTTCTAGTCATGGTCTATTCTGTCATTCTTGTTTCATGTTTGGCATTGTTTTTGCTCAAGATAATACGCGTTTTTGAATCCCTTCRGACAATTTAACTMWTTACATACTTAGAAGCCCTCTTGAGGAAAGACTTTGGTCAAAAAAGAGTATATGTTTTCAAATGAAGGGGAGTAACTGTGGCTTGTGTATTTATGTGATTTATAGTTTTAGTCACTGAGCTGAGTYGCATCTGTGATGCCACGCGCGTGTAAGGACTTTTCCCGGCAGAAAAAATAGGAAAAGAAAAAACGAGAAAAACGTAAAATCTATGCAAAACGATAAAAATCCGATAAATTAATTCATATATGTCATTGCACGATCGTTATAAAGGTGTATCATTTAAATTAAACAATTGAGATTGCAGAGATTTAGGTATAATAATCACTTTGACGGTCAAGAACATTTTGAATGAAATCAAGTATAGGTACAATGAGTATATAGGCTTTTTAACTTGAAATTTGTTTTTAAATATATCAATCGAAAAGAGCAAACTCTGYGGGCATATATTTCGGGAACTAACCGGATTACACTGTACGTCAACTAAGATGTTTTAAAAACAAATTCACGCAATTCCAACCACTTGAGATCACATTTCCTTGATAATGTCTTACCTCATAAGCAGTAGTTATGTTCAAGTGTAGCGTGCTATTGTCGTGTATTTTGTGATTTAGATGCGCTGACAGATTTATCGCAATATTTATACACTGTAAGAATTGTTATTCTCTTTGCAAAATTGTGGTTGTTCTATGTGAATAATGAAACATAAAGCAGGTATCTTTAATAGTTCCCTGCATGTCAGTTGGCCTGATATCATCGTTCTTTCTGCCAAGCTAAATTACCCATCTGTCCATTGACAGATTCCTGTCAATGTAAATATAGCACCAGACAAGTTATTCAGTGTGATATATATGGTGTGTTAATGATATTCTGGTTTAACAACCATTACTTACATATCTCAGTCTACAATCTCTAAAATAAACTCAAGATAAAAATCCTCGCGATCAGTTCTATTAATTTCAGTAATGACATGCTTTCAGATTCGATGAACATTTGTTGAAAAAATTGACTGAAATTCGATCATTGTTCCTTTGTGTCATCGTAGTCCAATTTTTCAATGATTTCGTTTTTGTACAGACTCTTAAATTACAAAGAAATTTAAGAAATGTCTCCCACCATTGCGTTGTAGTGTAGTTATGTTTTTTTTATTTTTGGTATTTCGTGTTTGTTTCTTCATATCCTTATTTACGCATCACGCGTATTCATCCCCTGTCTTTATGCTTTCAGTTTCATATCATTTACAAATCTGTGATTTACTTTAGTACTCACCTATTTACTTATTATTTGAGATCAACCAGCTTATCCTTTAAGTGCGTCCAAAGCACTCAAGAAATTTTTCATCTCATATGTTATGTGCATCTGAGCTTCTCGACCAATTCTAAGGAGTACCGCGCGTAATTAAAATGAGCTTTATTAATTTTTAAAGGGAATCGTCAGCTTGAGGTGAATAATTCAACTTTTCGGTCGATAAATCTATCAACTAAATAAAAAAAACAGATCCAACTTAAATTGAAAGCCCTAACCAAACGTATTATTATTATTTTTTGTGATATCTATACTATGACAAGGCATGTTAAATGATGTACTCGATATTATAGCACTTTGGGAGGAGAGGTCCTCGAGTGGATCCAAATATTAATGGTTTAAGCACTGATTATGTTTTGACCTCGTCCTTGTGTCGAGGCTCGGAGCTTCGCTTATTTCATATTTAGTAGTTCTATTATGTTTTTAAGAATAAAGGGTCTTTGGCAAACAATCTGAGGCTCCTTATGAGTAGAATATAAAAGGATGAAAAGCGATAATTGTAGGCAAGGCTTATAATTGAAAGCGGCCGCTTTGTACTTAACAACGAAAACTATGGGACAGTCTTTATTTTCTAATACTCGATACTGATTAGCATCATCGATATTGCGAGGTAGCGAGACACAGGGTACCCATCATAGACAGTATAAAAAAAACCTATTGAGCCTAAAATTCTGAATATATAAATTGCATATGAAATGAAATTCATGTATTTTAGCTGTTTGGGATTCCTTTGGTGATTGCATAACGAACCCCCTTTTTATAGCAATGGGCACCCTGTGTGTGGTCAAATGATGTACAGATATATAGGTCAACAAAAAATCATTTATAGTGACGTGCATGATACAGAAATGATTGAGACATTTTATGTATCCGTTTTTAAAGCTACGGTACGAAATGAAAGTTAATATATATTCAGCCTTATATGGATTAAAATCCCTTTTGACGCATGGATCAGTAAGAGGGAGAGTGGTAACATATACATATCACAAAGTAATCTTTATTTCATTGTACGTTAAGCCGGTGGCTTGCTGTGTGAATACATTATTGCTTGGCACGTTCCAGCTGTTATATTTAAGGTCAACCACTGCTTCCAAACTGCCATTTATTAAGCATTGACAATACAGCATTGCTGGAAATCTAGTAAATACAATGAACGTATCAAAGAAACAAGAATTCAATCACAATAATGCTGAAACACAATTATAGTTACTGTTCTGGTTGCGTGTTATAATTAATTAAGTAATTATCAATAACTAGCTTACCCTATACGTTTTCGCGCGCGTGTTAATGTAATTAACTGATTTGCCACAAGGGTTCCAAGAATGAAAACGAGCCACCTTAAATTTCTGTATAAGCTACCAGTACTCTGACATTGCTGTGAGATGATAAGCGTACAATTGATAGTACACGTCACTGCATTTGTCTTCACCATGGCGTATACGGTGGCCATGGAAACGAACGAGAAACTAGGATTCAACTAGCGTTGGCGTCACTGCTGCCATGGAAACAAGTATAGAATTAGAATTGAGCACTCTTGTCGTCCGGCGAAGGATTAACATTAAAAATCGCTGTAGCTAGTTTATCCTCCTACCAAGGTCAGGGAAAAGGATACAAAACAAAGCTGTCTATGCGGTGCTTCTGATATTCAATAATTAGATCACACGAGGTCGAGTGGACTATCAGCTAGGAGTACACGAGACATAAGTGGTCTTTTTGTTTTAGGATCCATCAAACTATAGGGCAAATTTGAAAAAGAACAAAAAAACTTTTCTCATTCTCGACACTTGTTTGATTTGTTTTAAACATATGAATAGACCATAGTTCATTAGCCAATCAGAATCCTGTATTTGTGATAGTCCATATTTTGGTGGTAATGTCGGATGTGCCACAATTCAATGGTGCTCATAGGACTTTTTACGCAAAGATGAGTGTTCTCAATGTAGGGGTGTTAGTGTTTAGATGCATTTATAATATAGAGGTCTCTGTAATGTGCAAGTGTTTATAACAAATAAGAGGTACTTGCGAATAAATAGACCATAGTTCATTAGCCAATCAGAATACGATCTACTTCATAGTGGTTTTTGATTTTTTTTTATTCTACTTGAGTCTTATCGTAGATATGGACCACTATCTGCACGACTCTGGGTGCTTGAGATAACGTAAACGAGTCAAATGGTGCTCTGAAAAGCATTGGTCTGAATTGATCCTATCTTTCCTTCTATTCAAAGAATGTGTTTTCAATTAATCTTGGAATCAACGATTTCATATGAGGGTAGTAATGATCATTTTTCCAAATATTCATTAATCATATAGCTACAACAAAACCATTTTTTTCATTATTTCTTGTCATATTATGGCTTTAAAGTGTTCTTATACTCCTCGCCACATGTGTTTACTCTATGATCTTGTAGCGGATATTACAATGGGTGTGCGTCGTGATTAAAATCTTTTAACTATACCGACAATTAATCGATATAATTCAATGTCGTCAAGTACCTCTTACCTTGAGAATACTTCTTTGCTTCAGTACAAGGAGTAAAAACAGTAATGACCTCTAGATTCCCATTTTGTAGTGGAAATGTAAACAGCATAGTTATTGGTAACGAGACTATGCTACTTATTGGTTGTACATTATTATTATTGTAATCGCCTTATTCCTGATTCTCCTCATAGACGTTTCTTTATATCATTATATCGGTATATATTCCCAAGACGACTTTATATCTACTACTCGCGAGTATACATTTTTAGTTTAAGCCAAATCAGTCAATTCGTTTTTAATAGAAAATTCATTAGTTGAACCTCAGAAAGCAAACACCTTTGGCTCGTGATAAAGTGCTCAATAAAGATTTTATCTTTTTTTCGCCCTTTCACCATAAGAGATGAGTAAAAACAGCTTTTATTTAAACAAATAAAAGATATCGCACGTATCTCTGTGTGTTTAAGGGGGGAGGGGGTATACGCTATCATGTCTGAAAACCAAATATTTCTCTGTTGATATGTCTCCTATAAGATCGCATCAGAGGAAAACAGAGATGATATTGGATTAATCTTTTATGAATCTTTTTGGCTCTTTACTAGAGCACAGTAAGAGTGTTCTCGATATCGATGAATTGATCCAATCAGAGAGCGCGTTACATAGCAAACATTGTATATTACAGTTATAGGGTTCTCGATATCGACGAATTGATCCAATGAGAGAGAGCTTTACATACCAAACATTGTATTACACTTAAAAGTCCTGAATTGGCTCACATGTATCTATTCCCTTATGCATAGTCGAGTTTTAAAAAAGATTTCAAAGTAAATGTTATTTTCTCTAAATAAATGTAATTTGGGCATCGAAAAGCACCTTGCTGGGTCATTTATGTCACACCCCCTCCATTCTCGGGTAGATATGCTTATTATAAGTCTGGATTGATGTCTAGAAAGAACTTTTACATAATAAACTGTCGTAATATGGCGGCTTTCCATGGCGCATCCATCCAAAAATAAGACACTAAAGTATTCGAGTGATTCTAAAATAGTTTCTCAAACAYAGCTGTAAACTAATAAGACAACTAAATTAACACCCTTTCATTGAATCATGAATGAATAGTGAATATCATTAATGTCTTTGTCCATTTTCGAAAACATCCCTTCCACCACGCGTCTCGTTCTTGTATCGCAGTCGGAACAACAAAACAATGAGCCTTTTTCTCAAAACTCTCTTTTGGGAGTTGGTGAAAATGACCGCCATTTAAGTGTGATGGGCGGAAAAATCGGAGAAAATTTTCTGCATTGTTCATCTTGTTATTATTACAAACTTTATTAATATTTATATCATTATTTCAAATAATAATAAAAATGAAATGTCAACAGTATGATTATTTTAGGATTGTTTATATTATTTATGCAAGCTGATGTTTACGATAGTTCAAAACGTGAAAAGTTAAATCTGATATCAAAAAAAATAGGAGATTCATCAGATCTTAAACACACCTATACTGTAAAGAATGTAGGATGGTTAATATAGCAATGATAAACGTACCATCCCCCCTTGATTGACCGGATGTCATATTGATTCTAAAGTGCCTATAGGGTATGTACAGGTGGCATAGATTTCCCCGCTTCTGAAAACGTCAAACTAGTTGTGTTTATTAGACTTGACTATTTGTTTATCGTTCATTGGTGTATTGCCTTAGACTAGTCTACTGTGGGCAATTGTCATATTGCTGTTGACACCGTGTCAGGCCGAAACACTTTTTTCATCAGTTTGATGAATGACACTTCAACTAAAGAGAGACAAGAATCATCTTGAGTTCCCTCGTACGACTTGCTGTTCGTAAGAGGTTTTAATCAACGGCTAAAACAAAGCTATCGTTGGTCGACTTCTGTTTTTGAGTCCACAGTCTAAACATATCCAAAGCAGTCATCTCATCCGCGCCTGATAACTATTGAAATTTCTCATGTCCGGCGATGAATCAATTGGTAGGGAATTTTACCAGTGATAACAAAACAACGAGTGATTCGTACGACTCGGAGAACAGTGTGCTTAAAGTTTTACATCTGTTATCTTACGTTGCAATTTGTCTGATAGGAACGTTCGGTAACATGCTTGTTCTTTTGGTCACTCGTAAACAGAGGATGAGGACAGTTACTAATGTGTTCATAGCTAATCTAGCACTAGCTGATCTCGCAGTATGCGTATTCTCCATTCCAATATCATTGGCATACACTAGTCTTGGGTACTGGCCTTTTGGTCAAGTACTATGTCAGACTATGCCATATCTACAAGGRGTAACTGTGTGTGCTTCGGTAGGTACACTCACTGCAATCGCCTGTGATCGCTTCATTGTTATTGTGTACCCTACCAAAAGAAAACTCAAGATTTCACAAACATGGATGTCCATAGCTTTCATATGGGGACTGTCTGCAGTGGTTACGATCCCTGTTAATCTACACAGTGAAGTAGTTGATGATAATGTAGAAGGAATCAATCGAAGCTTTTGCATGGAGATATGGCCCTCGCGCGTGTCACAATTAACGTATGCTATGATCGTATTTTTGGTTTTATTTCTGCTTCCTCTCTGTGCCATGTCAATAATGTATGCAGCTATCATTTACAAGTTAAAGAAACTCCATCCAACACAACAAGGTAATGTGTTCTGTCTTATCATCACTCTTATTTTATACTGATCAAATGTTCCATTTCCTGAGCGATCAGGTCTTCGAACGACACTGATTATTCTCTTCTTTTCAATTTATTTTTAAGATGCCACAGGGTAAAACTATATCGAATCTTTCATTTATATCTAATACTGACCACTGTAATTTTATTGATCAAGTGTTCCATTTTCTGATCAAGTGTTCGATTGACAATTGTTTCGAAATTTCAATAATATTTTAGTTTGTCTTTTCGAATATGAGTGATTTTTGTATATTTGCTTCCTAATATTTCAATGACACTAATCAACTCCTTTTTATGAAAATTGTCAATCACTAGAGATTAAAAAGTCCAACGTGTAGTAGCCGTGTTTTGATTTCTTCGCTGACATTGTACAAATAGAACAAACCGTCTATGCTAATGGTTTCAAACTATAATCCTCTCAGTCGGTAAGTCATTTATCGCTTTAGTAGTTTGTCCTTTTCAATCGGATATACCAAGAAGATTACCGGCAGCCTGATGAACACAGCTTTTGTGGTACAAAGTATGGATTTACAATAAATTACCTATCCATTCAAATCCAAATATTTCATTTTGTTGAATATAATAAGAAACACCCTTTAGAAATAAGTGCACATTCCAGGAGGATTGCCGGCTAACCAAAAATGACATGTTACAAACAGCAGAAAAACCACTAAAAACCAGGATGGCCTCAAGGAATGTTTGTAGAAAACATGGAGATTTGTAGAACGGTTCTACAAAAATATAGTCGTTTTGCGCTTTCCAAAGCAAACATAAACATGATGTAAAACGTAAAATCGACGAGATCGAACAGCACGATTACAGCATTTAATTGTTTTTTTTTTACGCTGTCTGGAAACAGCAGTGAGTGAATGCTCTAAATCAGAATTCAACTCCAGATTTTAATTGACTAATTTGTTAAAAAATGTGCTGGTTTAAAACAATCGACCGTCAATTGGAGTTTTTGACATATAGAAATGAAATCTTTAATCACTGCACAAGAATTGCTTTCCTGTTAATAAACATTAACAGAATTATAACGTTTTAAATGTTTTTTTAATGGAAAAATATCATCGCGGTTTGCCGTATTACTATGTTTTACTTTGAAGTCTTTAAGTGGTAGAACATTCGTGATAGACTCAGTGGCGACGTGTCTCCATTGGCAACAGGTAATATTGTTTCTATTTAAGGGATCGCAACGATAAACGTTTGCATAACAACTATAGATTAAGTTTTTTTATGTTCTCATTCCAGTCACGTTTTTGTCTAAAGTTATACTATCAAAAAGGTACAGGAAACCCAATACAAGAAATTGACTAATTCAAAGTGCAAAACACTTTTCCTTATGATAAAAACTCCTGAATTTTTATGATTCTACTTTGGCGAAAAGAAAATATTGATTTGTGATTGTTTTTGTAAATGTTGTATAAAAAAGGTTCTGTATTTCTTACATCGACAAAACACATTAAACGTCATATTAATGAATATTATATGACCCACCGCCCCCTTAAGCAGACGGGGTATGTTGGTTTATCTGTCTACGGAGTTAAAAGTGATTATTCTAAACATTTCAGATACTTTACTGCCCCTAGGCCATGATTTCTTTATCAATATAACACTCGTTATGTGTGTTGAATTTTTGTCCTGATGCTGATAGACTAGTGATATTTTATTGAAATGCTGACGTTTACACGGGAGACAGTGTTGATCACTTTTGCTTTAGAAAGTGCTGAGACTTTAGAGAATTACCCGACAGATATCGGTCAACAGGATGACAATGGAATTATTATGCATAGAATATTCAACACCATAGGTTTTGGCACTTTGCGCTGTTGACATTGAATTGAGATTAGAATGTACTGGTTAGCGGTATCTTATTCAAGGTTTTTGTAACACGGTAACATTTCTTATTAGAAACCAATGCCGAATTTTAGGACATGATTTGTACATTAAAGAAATAAAGTTGGTAGATATAGCCAAAAGTAATATCACAATCATGAAGGAGAGGTGGAAAATAATGTCAACATGTCATAATGGAAACAAAGGCAGAATGTAATGAGAAAAAATAAAATGAAATGTCCATTTTCATCTCATACGACAGGACAATGATATAAGAACAAATACCAATATACTGAACATATTTGAACTCAATCAGATAGCACTTAGACACAAAAGATGAATTCAAATAGGATTTCATGTAAACCAACATAGAAAACAAGAAAAAGAGAATGTAGATTAAGTCGTTAACAGACAGACGATAGTCCGCAAGTGACTTGTAAGACATTCAAGTCGTTGTTGAGCTGCGAAGTGAATATCCAGCATATGTCTGAATAAGCTCGGATGAAGGCGGTAATTTAAGGATATAATTGTGCAAAATTGTAAGATGACAATGGTATATTTATAGAGTCAGTAATACATTCAAGTGAAGTAAGGAGCACTTGATAATTTTCAATCCCCCTAAAACCTTTTCTTCTCTTCATGGTTTAAATCAAGTACATAATCGATATTAGGCTTTGATTATCATTAAGAGTTTATAAATAGTAACCTAATTTTGTACTGAAACTATATCGTATCCTTGTCTCCATAGCAACCCTTCGCACCCACAAGAAAGTCGTCAAAATGTTGGTGGTTGTCATAGTGACATTTGCAGTTTGTTGGATTCCATATCATGTGACGTTTCTATATTATGATATTTTAAAGTATGACTCTGCGACCAGGTCAACAGAAGAACTCACTAACTTAGTGTTGTTCATTCAGTGGCTTATGTATGCCAACAGCGCCTGCAATCCTATTGTGTATGCTGTCTGCAACTTGAATTACAGAAAGGAATTCATTCACATGTTAAAATGTTCCTGTAATAGTTAACCAACGAAAGAAAACGTTATTTCTTATCACTGATTTGAAGTTTTTGACAACGTTTTCATTTAATAAACCTTGAAAGAATCGCTTGAAAATCATCTTTGCATGACCGATATGATCTGTGGGGTACCTGTGTATTTGTATAGCAAATCGCACGACCTTGAGTACAATTTGGAATTAATAGTCACGAGTAATGTTTTGATAGTTCTTCTTAAGTATTATTTTGTTGAATGTACTGTAAGGATTCTAATAACAGAAACAAGTATGGGTGACATTTAGGTCTCTTTGGTCTTTAGGTCCATAATATAATTTATAACTACTTATGCGCGAATTAAACCTCCGTACATTGCACTAATGCGTTTTCGTAACGTAGTCTGTATATTGTGTACATCATCTGTTTGGCTCAGGATCTTATTGCTGGTGTAGGCGACAGACATCATTGTCCAATTGCCTTCTGTGCAGCCTGCAGCAGTCTCCAAATCCGATACCGATGATGGAATGTAGTTGCGAAAACGCATCAGCTTTGATAAACGTAAACTTAAACGGTCGTATGAGTTAAAGCATAAAATATCGATCAATAGTTTATTGAAATAGGTTTATTTAAACCAAAGCTAATTATTTATAAGGCCATAGACAAGGCAGCAGTAATTAAGGTCTGCCTCAGTAAAATGTCTTTTGAAGTATTTTCTACTAGGAGGACTTTCCGACAACTGTAACTGCGGTCGCTTCGAACATGCACTTTCTGAAATTCCTGGGTCTGGTTGTGGCTATATATGGTATCCAGCTCCATATTAAATGATGTGGTAAAATAACATGGCGGCAATGAAAACCATTTCTTTAAATCATGCCCTCACTCAAATAAGCATAACTCTTTTTATCGAGTTTCCATAAACACGTGAAATCGACAATACGCAAAATCCGTGAACCAAAATGTAATATTGAAAGTGTAGATGAGTCCTAGTTTTAACCTGCTCACTACACTGTCAGTACTACATTACATTCTACTCATTGGATTTCACGGGTTTAAGGCATCAGTTCTCAAGGTTTCCATCCAACTATCAAAAGAACATGGTACTTCGAAGACGCCATTTAAATTTGAAGTGAGCGTTGATGATAAAAAATGTCTATAAAAACATAATATTACAGACATGATTATTATTTAGTAATATAAAAAGCAATCCGTAGAAAATAATTTGTCATTTACAGTTGATAAATAGTGTCTTGAAAAATCCAATAATGGTGGTTCTATAATGATAGTCCTGCAATCATCCACAAAGTACCCCAGTGGGGAGGGGGACAGTATCATGCCTCTTTACTAATACATTTTACAAGGTATCTTCATATCAAAAAGCGCTTTGGTCCTCCATTTATCTTCGTTTATTCTAGAGTTTTATCTTTTGTCCACTTTTCAAACACGGCGTTTCCAACATTGTTTCACGGTTTTYCGCTGTATGCGTTCGTGTAGTAAACAAAGTAGACGACCAGGAATACCACGTAAGCAAGAGGAAATAGAAACCTGGAATAGTTGTCCAGCCAGTGGCAACCAAGCAGATTGCTCTTAGGTTTTTGATCTTGTGAAACAATGTAAAGCTGCTCTTTACCAGAATTAGCGCAGCCGTTTTGTTTTGCTCCTCTAAAGGAGAGGGGGCTGTCCGTGGAGCGTGCAAGAAGAGGCATCTTCTGGTGTCGTTCTTTAAGGACAATTCCATCACCATTTTCTACATTGTCAAGACAACTGGAAAAGTTATAACTTCTGTTGCCAACAGACACAGTTACTAGCATTGGTTTCTTTTCCTGGAATAGAATAATACTGGTCATCAAAACATTGCATCTATGTCATTAGGCGTTCGCTTTTCAAGTGTCTCTTGTTCTAAACTTTTCCAGAATAGTTCCTGGAATATTATGCCGTACCATTTTTGCTTGTCTATTCTGGCTGAACTAATTTCTGGACTGATTCTCGCTTTATTTCCTGGCTATTTCCTGGTACTCACCATTTCATCGTCAGAATTCTCATCATTAGAGTTTGCCTCCTTTGACTTGCGGGTTTTTTGCTTTCGTGCGTAGGTTAAAACGAGTACATATTCAACCAGCGTTAGAAATATAAACACAAAAGAAACCAGTAAGAAATAATCAATACTTTTTAAATAAGACACCCGCGGCATATTGGCGTTAACGGAACCTCTCATATAACTAATAGTAAGGACTGTCGTGATACTAAGAGCAACACGTGCTGGCACCGCCTCGTGGTTGATCCAGAAACTGACCCAGGACAGCGCAGTAATGCACACACATGGGATGTACATCTGGAAAATGTAGTAGGCTGCTCTACGCTTGAACACGATCGTAGCGGTCAGACCAGAGAAGTAATCTAGGAAAACAACAATGGAAGTTGTTTAAATGTCGTCTAGCCTAATGACATCATGTGTGTTTTGGCAAAGTGCGTCATAAACTAAACCAAATTAAACTCAATCACATGTTTGCGTAAAAACTTGTTTTATTTCAACTGTTATTCTCTGATTTAATGCATTTTCTATTTTTTTTTTCATAGCGGCAGCTGATCTCTTATCTCTGCAGCCATGGAGGATGGTATGTTAATAGATTTTTATTGCATTTCTAGCTAACCGACCGACCAATCTTCCAAACAGTCACCCGACCGACAAACAATAAACAAGCAAAAATACTGGTTGTTGAATGATTGTTGAGGGTACCTGAGTGGTAGACTTTGTGTTTGAGGTATCTCTTGGCTGTCTTGATATCAAACTGTGCCATTTCTCGATCATACACATGAATATCGCTACCTATGGACTGATTGCGCCATCTATACAGCAAGTCTTTCTCTGAATAAGAAACTAAAAGAACATTTATGTTAGATATCACTTGACTATTCACATATTTTGTGTTTGAACATAGTTACTAACTATGGTTTGAAGTATTTTCGTCCTTGATGTAGCCGGTTTATACGAAGTTGCTCGTTAACTCTGATGCAACCTTTACTACTAGGGTGAGGGTTAGAAGTAGTAGTCTTCACATGTTACAAATGTATTTATCAATAAGTAATAGTTCATTCTTCATATTTTGCGATACTTACAGCTTTCAAAAGCCAGATGACAAGTCTGTTCATCGAGAGGGTAGTTCCGTAAATCAAACTTGCACGAGTTACGGCTGACCAACCTATTTAGATGATTTATTACATCAAAGTGAGATAATGGGTTATATTAGATAAACCAGATGTGATGTATTATGTACCTTGCGCTAAGCATCATGGTACCATTATTCAAACTTATCCAAATTTTCTTATTTACAAACATGAGCGTTTGAATCTTGCTTTCTACGGAGTTGACAAAAAATGTGTCTGGGACCCAGAGCTTCTCGGACGCCTCTCCGCCAAGAATAATGTATCGGTCTAAACCAAACGCTAGCCTTGGATCCTGCCAGAATTGTCCCAAGTACATATCAACTGTGTATTCCTAAAGATTAGAGAATCATAGCAAACTTTATTGATATTGATTGTTGCTTCATAAATAGAATAATTGATCAATGGTATTTTAGAATATTTGACAAAATCTTTTGTAGTTGAATAGCTGATCGAAGCATTAGTAGTACATTTAATTGCAGGTTATTGCGGATTCTATGACGTTTGATCAAAACTCTTCGAATATAGCTGCTTACCATGCTGGCTTCCTCGAGTTCTCCGAACGACAGAATCAGAATATCAATTCCAACATTTAAGGGTTTCACTGCAATAAAAGAACAATCGGTACTTTGTGAATAACGATGTTTACTTTGAAATTGATATCAAATTACAGTTACTTATACATTACTTTTGCAAATTAGGGAGATCCGATGATTCTTAGCAGTCTCAGTCTTTGCGATTATCAACGAWATAAATTGAMATTAGTTTTCTTCACGTTTCCTTCCGCATCTTGAAGAGGCACAATTACCTTTCAAGATGGCGCAGRAACCGCGTTAAGGAGTCTATAGGTATACAAGTACGGGTATATGAAGTAAGCTAAAGCCTTACCTCCATAGAATGGTCGTATTCGTTTATCGTACTTAGCAAGRACAGTGTCCAGTAGATGAGACACATTCCGCCCAGGCTCAACATAYTCTCTGTAYTTTAACTTAAACTGCTCCAAYCCAGGCCTGAWAACACAATCAGATAATACTGGAAAGTCATTTAAATGGACGTTTAAACTATGAAATCATTACATTGTGCCAGATTGACTTATTCAATGGACTCAACTTATGAGACGTACGACGTTTGAATAGCAGACAGTTACTTCCAATGTGCAAAGTTGATAGTTTTTGTTCATAAACCAGTGAAAAATTTGTAATTTTGACTAATGTAATAATGAGTTATTAGAATAATGAGTTATATGAAAGTTCAGTTGATAGGTTTTTTGATAGGTTTGCCGGAACAGCCAGCGTATATGACGTCACTTACGCTTCATCTGGTGGTGACGGGTGTGGGGTCGGGGTACTCCGAGGGGGAGTTGGCATTTCAGTAGTGATTTTATCCAACCAAATCTTTGTAAATCGTCTGTAAATGTAACATTTGATATCATTTCAATTATAAGCTTGCAAAGGACTACTGGGAATGCAAATAAGACACCRTCTTGAATCTTATTAACCACGTGAGAGAAGTAGATAATTAGATTGTAAAGTTTGCAAAGGATTACTGGGAATACAAATAAGACACCATCTTGAATCTTATTAACAACGGTGAGACTAGTAGATAATTAGATTGTATAGTTTGCAAAGGATTACTGGGAATACGAATAAGACACCATCTTGAATCTTATTAACCACGGTGAGACTAGTAGATAATTAGATTGTATAGTTTGCAAAGGATTACTGGGTAAAAAGATAACAAAATTAAGACGCCATCTTGAAATTTTTTTCTGGTCAGTTGCAAAGGATTACTGGGTAATAAACTCTAATGCACACCTTACAAACAGAATGAACACTAAATATAGTGGCACTGGAACTCATTGGAAGGTAGTATTGTCAAGGATTATGAAATAAACAACACCATTGACTTTYATGMAGAWCGTGAGAAAATGGAGAGAACAGTGTGTCTCTTCAGTAAATTTAGATCGCGGCGGAGGGCTTTAAAGGATTTTTATGCAAGTGGCTTTAATAGGGTTTTCTTGTCCGATAAGATTTCTGACGATTAGCTTTGTAAATGTCAGATCAACTTACTCTTCTGTAGTAATCGTAGGACTAGATTGATTAGCAGGCGGTGTTGCTGTTGTATTAGGGTGTTCTTGTCCGGTGAGATTTCTGAAAGCAAAATATACAAACATGTGAAAAAGGAAAGCTTTGAAAGAAAACATGCGGCAGTAAAATCAATGTTCCATTCGTTCATCCACATTTCATTTCCTTTATTTACTGATCATGCCAGACGGTCAGGCAAAGAGGAATATTTAATATGTTTAGTAACTTTAGAATTTAGGTAAAGCTCTTTTCAATAGTCGTGTAAACCTGCAAATCAACTTAGCGATGCTTGGTAATAACATTGGATTAAAGAAAGAAAAAAGCCTGAGGAGCAGCTACATAAATTCTGTTAAAATTCCAATTATGATTTAAGTCTAGTGGRGAGTCACATGTTAAGTTCCAAATAGTTTGAACGGACATAATGTTTCTGTGTTTTACGAGTTAGTTGTTAACTAGAACACTTAAACTACCCACCTTGGCAAAGCAGACGAATTTGATGTACATAGGAGCCATAGCAGGATGAATCCACAGCGAATCATCTGAAATCGGGACTGAAACAACACAAACACATTTYCATTGAAAAATGTCGGGAAGACTTTTAAAAAAACTTCGTATCCATCAAAAAAGGAGTTTTGTCATAAATATCATGTTAGTTTTTGAAGTCATTACTGGGAAAAAACGTCTTTGTCGGGCAAGAAAAAAATTATTTTTTAACATATAAGCTGTCCATAGCAATATATCCTTCGCGAAGTTCATAAATTTTTCAATWATCTTAAGCTGCTATGCATAACAAAGGTAGAACCTTTTAAGCTCAAAAGTTAATTATGTCAAAGATGGAAGAGAATATATTACAGCCCCTAATAACACTCATGAATTTAAAATGAATAATTCCACAGCGATTGCCAACAGGGGTTGGTGAATTATTAGATCCTTTGAAATAAYATTAAACAATACATCGCATTAGTTTACTGCAACTTTTCTTTAATGAAATCCGAAAAAAAAAACATTAAAAATTGTTTTCGTCTTGATATACTATGATCAAGATATATTTTTTTCAACTCTCTTAGACATAGATATAGACGGGCGGGGGGTGCTAATAACAATAGACTTATGCCACACTCGTAGATATATTTCATCAAAATCGGTCGGAAAGAATCACTCATATGATGTTGAGAACGAATTATAAACAACACTACTTTATTATCTTATGATGGGTCAACACGGAGGAAACTTTCGGACGTTCTCGACAAACTTTTAAAATTGCTGTATATGCCATTTCGACTTCCGWYAAACTTCTGAAAATTGCTGTATTTGATATTTCGACTTCTGATGATCGTTATTGTGGTAAGCAATCTGTTGATTKCGAGTATTCATATTGAAAAAAACACTTAATGATTAATCGATCGATCGAATTATCGATTGATTCAAAGATTGATTGAAGGCGATTGGTCGATTGCAAGATGATTCATAATTCATAACCATATTAAAGTACAAATTTGACTGTTCTTTACAGATTATAAGAGTTCTAGAACTATTTTAAAAACGCAGAGAAGGAATAATCTTACTTGTAGTTCAATCAATCCTCATGCAAGCATAGTTAAAAAGCATTTGTTTTGAACCATTTGTTGTGCTYTGTAGAACTGCATACCTCGCATTCATTAAAAAACAAAAGCGATCAAAGTTTTGTACTAAAATCTACTTTTAAACTGTACAAAATAGTTTAAACAGTTAGAGACAGTTTATAATAATCCACACGGTGTACGGTGTTCAAAACTATGGCACGTATAAAGACCTTTGTTAAATGTTGACAAGTTAATGCGCGAGAATTTGCATGATTKACTTAGAAAATAACAACCGTATATATCTATAATAAATATACTAACGTCAAAGATTGAAAATATCGWTTTGTAACAGTACTATCGTATAATACAAACATGGTTGATTTGTTATATTATTCGTACAAAACCTACCATTATTGAACAGATCGTTTATCAAGTTGACTTTGCGAGAGCCGCCAATTTTATCATCAATAACGGAAAGTCAGTTCTTCATAAGTTAAGGYCTCATGGACCATCAACGCGTAGTCCACTTAGACTACARTCTCATCGATTCTTCTCGCCGCAGYACAAATCAATTATAAGAGTGACAAATTGACGATTTTTGATATAATTCATATCAACATCAATGTTATGTTAATGGTTCCTAAATTGATGACCAGGTCATTACCAGTGTAATTGTAATCCAGGAAATAAATGAGCCATGAAATGGTATTCTTCTTGTTAACCAGTCACCGTACAAAACAAMTKTTCATTGTGTTCGSTCTTAACAAAGATGAAAATTCACTAAAAASATGCGACAGTAAGTTAGGAAAACTGAAATTGAAAKGACTTTTTGTTAATCAACACTATACGGCAAACTATAGATTGCAAAAATATTTACATAATGTATATATCTGCTTATCAAATTTTAATATTGAGCCCTTAATTTTGCTTTTGAAATGAAAAAAGAATTKAGGTGAAGCTGATATATATATCATATAGACAGTATTATGGAATGATAAAAATAGCACTATTTGGTGATGTAAATGTGTTCGGAATGGCCATCCATTGAAACTATTGTCACTGCGGATATAAACGCACGCTCTAGAGAGGGAAAATAAAAGCAATAACGAAATCCCATTTYCACATTCTCAGAAAACCGTCATCTCATGAGATATAAAGCGTTGATGTATACACTTTATAAAGCCAAATAGTCAAGTTTAATTTATGATATTTGTAAGTTGATCTATGTAGTATTTGCATACCATTTTGATATATGATTTTCACAAAAATCGGGAACTTTTGAGTTTGTCCTGTCTTGTTGATGTTTGATCGCAATGGTAAGCTGGAACCAAATCTAAGTCACAGACTATGCTATTCTGATAAGCTTTGCAATCTAATGTGGTTTTGGAATTTGCTATGAATGAAAAAAATCTATGATGATCTACCTGATAAGTTTAATCACTAATCACAATATCTGGATGTAGTTATATGGACCCTAACTCGAAAAATAAGAATCAAAAACCTTCAAACAAAAGACATTATTGCTAACGCCATTTATATGAAAGAAGTATTGATAAAGAAAATTGAAATTAGTTGAGCGGAAGGTCGGAGCTTTAGATCTATTTTGAAAACAGTTTGACGTAGATTAATCTCAATATGAATTGATGGTCTGACACCATGACATACGCTTTGCAGAAAAAGGTTCGCTTTTTTACTAGACAAAACATAAATGAATATTTAAAAGATATTTAAATCTCACAGATAAGCTATGTGATGCCCGAGTCCTATATGTGTTGAGGCGGTAGGCGGAGTTTCGGTCTGCTTCTAAACTGATATCATTTTTTGCTCACAACTGTATGACTAGAAATTGCGCCGCCATGTTGGATGAATGACGTAACATAGACTTGGTAATAAATGTTTTTCAATATTATAATGTGGYAATAATATTGAAATATTAATTGATAAAATATGTACTAAATGGAAAAATGGATAAAATAATGGTAGCATTTTGATCCTATCCAATATGATGTGAATGCCTTGCTATGTGCAATATGAATCTCGTAAATAACTGTGCTTAATTTCTACTCGTTTTTAAATGTCTTCTGCTATAATTATTAGATGCCTAGCTATTTATACAACTTTCATGAATAATAATAATTTCTGATGACAATGTGCGTCCTTTGCAGACTGTTAAAAGTAGGATGGAATTGATGACACAATGTAGTGAAATTCACCGTATTCAACATCTTCGCTATTAATATGTTTCCTGCTAGTTCAATAATGTTTAGCTGGTTTGGAGAAATCGTGTCAAGAGTAACAACAGTGATGTTCTGGTATGTAACTATAGATTTTCAAACGTGTGTGGAAAGAATGTTTGAGAGGTTCATAGTGCTAGCTAGCTAGTAGTGATTTTACCTGGTGCATTTCAGTTTTTCAATGAAGAACTTGGCTGATTGTTGAAATATACAACTAATATACTTTAAAAAAGCCGGACGGTGAACACCGGTAATTCCTCGATCAATATCGTCGGCTTTTGAAAGGCATTGGTCTTATTT